AATGGAATCAGTTAAGTAAAGAAGGTTTTGAGTCTGGATTTGAAGGAGTTTAGAGAAGGTGACTCTCTGATATCCTTGGGGAGAGAGTTCCAGAGCTTGGGGGCAGAACAGGAGAAGGCCCTGTCACCCATACAATGTAGATGGGCTTGGGGGACAGTAAGGAGAACAGAATTAGAAGAGTGAAGGTTGTGAGGTGGGGAGTAGGGCGATAATAGTTCAGACAGGTACTGAGGTGCCAAGCCACGCAGAGCCTTATAGGTGAGCATGAGGATTTTAAAGTCCACACGGACTTTGACAGGAAGCCAGTGCAAGGACTCCAGGATAGGAGGATTAAATCTAGTAAATCTAAATATAAGGAACATTTTTCCATGATCAATGACTGTACACCCTGTACAGTATACATCATACTGTAGGTATCCCACAGAGGGAGTCGGAAATCACAATTACACCTGCCAGTTTTCAATGGTTGCACTGTTATTACCAATTTACCACAGCAATGATCACCTGTATATGATATAACATTCCACAACACATCGACAAAATATTCCTGCGTTTTGTGTAAAAGTGAGTGAATGATTATGGCAACACAATTGGATGTTATGTAAGGAAAAGACTGATGATACATGAATTCAGAACATAAACAATATCCCACTGGTGTATGTGATTTCAGTGAATAGGGGGTTGCATCCTTCTCTCATACCACTTAAAAGAAGGTGTACATGTAGATACTGTATCCCTTGATGAGATTAGAACAGGGGTCTTCAACCCTGGTCCTCAAGGATACTAAACAAGTTAGTCATATAGGTCAACCTAGCCAAACAATATGTTGAATTAAGAGAAGTCTACTTGTAGAATGCTAAAGAGTACTTAGATTTTAGATCCAGATTAGCTCTAAATTAATGTAATGAATCTCCGCTTAATTTGACATGATCACCTTTAATTGATCATACTGGAATCGTTTCTTACATCTGTTTTAATGGTGACCTTGAAAACATGGTGAAAGATTTATAGCTGATGATCCCTGGATTACAATAATCAATCACATCCAAACATGACTCAGAACAAGGCTGAGATTTCTGTCATAGCTGTGAAACAGAAGAACAAAAGAAAACCTATGAACATGTGAGGCCATTCAACTTGATTGGTTACAAGTAACTAAGTAAACCAATGATCTAGTTTGGGCCTTTGTTAATAGAAGCCGGGTTATGAGCAATTACAACAGTTTCTGTTTTTCTTTCCACCTGGGCCATTAATTAATTAAAACTTCCGTATGCCTAATTGGTCAGGTTGAAACCTTTCCTTGTTCTTAAGAACCTGGTGATTTTAAGAGACCTGTAAAACGTGATGTAAAGTTCTTGTGGACTTTGAGTAAGAAGCCACCTCCTGTTCTCCGTTTTAAATAGTTGCTTGTAGTTTCCACTTCTGTCACGCGATCCACGTTTCAATGTTAAAGGTAGTTACAAGTAGAAAATGGTTTAATACTCCTGTGGGTTGACCTCTGTGAAAGCAAGGCTTGCTGAAAATAGTTTAAAATGTATATAAAGAAGGTATAGATGAAGATCTCCGTTTTAAGCTGGGAAATCAATTCCAAATAAGATCTGTGGGGTATGGAGTCAGAGATACTAGTGCTTAAGAAATGAGCTTGCCCCTACACCATGGTCACCATGAAGCTGTAGCGAGTAAACAAAGGAGATCAAGGACAACATTACCACAAACAATCAAAACATCTACATATCACTGTCTACCAGGACATTCCACAGATGCAAGTCATCTAGATTCCAAATGTAGTCAGATAGAAATGATAGACTGTCGAATCATATATGCTGTTACTACCCATGTGAATATGTAAATCTCTTCCCCATGAGGGTTCCAAACGTCATGCTTCATTGCACACGTTTTTCAAGAAGCAGTGCTTTGTTTAGGCCAACTAACTCCAGAGGTGTCCTTTATTATTCAAGTATAATTGAATGTCATGCATCCAAGCCATGTATACAGCATAAACTGTGTGCAATAAATCTTGGTAGATGGATCAGGGTTTCCTAGACTGCATGTAAACCCAGCTATTGCCAGTACCATTTAGGACTGTAAATACTGTAATCAAAACCACTCAGGATTGAACAGATTTATGGCCTTCAACCTACTGATGTGTGAAATACAATACTCTGGAGACTGGGAATTACTTTGGTTTCCCTTCATTGTCTGTGGCAGATGTGGTATTCCATGGTCCAAAAACGTGAATCAGGAATTTAAAAATAAACTTCAGCCGAACCGTTTCCCAAGTAATTCCTGTTCTTCGTTGTAAGGAATAATTTTTCAGCAGTGTCCGAGTCCATGTCATTACCCAACCGTTCAAATACATTAGAAGAAACATTGTAACATCATGTAGATGAGCTGTATTATAGAGAACAGTTAGTAAAGTGTAACAGAAATCTGTTTTGGCATGAAAGTAGGGTAATACCTTTGTAATTATCAGGCTAAAGCAGCACCAGGGTACGCAAGTAAGCTAAGTTTTTAAAACAATGGTCCTCAATTTACATTATCTTGAAAGGAAGAATCCCAAAGGTTACCAAACAAAAGACAACATATCACATCGTTTTATCAAATATGATTTATTTTTTTAAAAATCATTCTTACAAAATTGTCATTTGTCTAATTCTTAATTCTCTCTCTATAAAAGTCAACAGAATCCTTGTTAATTACAGGGGAGATGGGGGTTGAAATAAAAATATAAAATACAGTTTGTGAGATAACTCATTATAAATAGTCAAACAAAATCATGCATGTCTGGATGTCTGTACTGTAGAAACGAGAAAACCTTCCCACAGAAAGGTAGGAATGTCAGTTACCAATGTAGCAATAGCTCCAGTGTTAGACAAGGTAAACTAAGGAAAGGTTTAAAAGTCTTAGTGGGGGGGGAGAAACAACCACAAATTCCCAAACTGCTTAGTGAAAATTGCACTAAGCACCTGCTTAAGACTAGAAAGCATAGTGGCTCATATTAAAGGCACATCCACACTGTTCAGAAACACAAGTTCTGAGATATGTAAATGGTCTTTTGTCACTATTTTGTGCAGGCACGTGAGACGGCTATCCTAAAAAAGAGAAAGAAGGTTCACGCTTTGAATTTTGCTATTGAACACAAACCACCGTTCATGTAATATTTGATGGTCCTGAAACATTCCTTTTAGTATGCAAATTGTTCTTTAAATGATAAACAGTATTGCTGCATATGTTTTTAAATAGCCAAGTACAGAGCTCACTTGCATTTTGACCTCTTGCATGGTTGTTATGCTGTTGTTTGATAGCAAGTTTAGAGAAAGTGATGCTACACACACTAGGGAGAGTATTTGGTCTGGTGTTGAAGTATTTGGCAGAATACGTTTACTGCATATGCATTCTGAATTCTTTGATAATAAACAAGCAGCACATTTGTAAAACTGCTTTGACTGTTATATTCGTCCTTTGAAATACTGATGGCTTGCCAAGTTTAACAACTGTTCTTTGTAAGGCAGACAACAGTGTTTGCCTTCTGCAGTTGTTTTGCACAGCAACCAGAACAACTAACAATTAGAGATAAGCTGATATAGAAAGAACAGAAAAAAAAGTTCAGAAAATGTAGCCACCACCATCAATTTTAGTGGATATATTCATTCAGTAGCCTCTGCAACTAACAATGTACTTGTGTCTTTAACAGAGCCAACATAAAAAAAACAAAATATTAACAGTTATGAGTTTATACAGGCATGTGGCAAAGGGTACAGGTCAGTTCATGGAGAACAGACACCAATGCTGATTTGATGTAGACTACATAGCTACTTTGTGGAAAATTCACCTATGCTTTCCTTACTAGCATTCTGATGAGAACACACACACACAGAAAGGTATTTAGCAGAGTTCATTAATCTGCAGGACAAAGTCTTTGGTGGCACTACCTAGGAAACTATCTTCGATGGAGAACCTAGAAGCTGTATAGTTTTCAGATGAAGCAAAAAGAAGGTCTATGGCTTTGTAATATCTTTCTCACTCTCCGTTAGCATGTAATTACACTAAGTGTTATTTTGAACCTGCGTGGGGGACCTTTTGAAAAGATGTGGCAACCTCATGGGGAAAAAAAACTGTGGCAACATATTAAAAAACTTTTCAAAAATGTACATCTTATACAAAATAAGGTATGCTTTTTTGCATTAGAATTTTTTTCCCCCCATCTATGTATTCCCACTATGGTTTTTTAAGCATTCGGAAACTATACACAATTGTTTTTCTGTGTCAAAATAAATATACAAGTTTATGTACAATATGACAAGGCCTGCTGTAGCTTTCCTAATTTGGTTATACAATGAATTACAACGCAGGGGTGACATTTTCTATATGAGATGATCAAAACATTTTTAAAAATTAATGCAATAAAGATATAAAAGGCTTGATATTAATTAAAATAAGGTGATTTAAAGGAGATCCACACTTCAACTTTAACCAGAAGTGAGCCATTAAAATAGATTGTAGAGCTTCAAACTCTAATCAGTTTCAGACGAACCACGTTCATTAGTAATCCACTCTGCTATATCTACACCAATTCAGTCTGCTCAGTTATAATCCAACATTGAAATCTGTTATTTGAAACATCTATAAACATCTCTCAAATTCACAAAGATCTTCAGCTTTTATAAAAATATATGGCATTAGTTTAGTAATGAAGAATACAGGACAATGTCCTGAGTTTCTCGTCCAGATAAACATTGTATTTCTAAAATCAGACTCAAGTGGTTTGATTGGTTTATGCTGATCTCTAACTTAAAATAAAAAAAACAACTTTAAATAGAGCTTTTTTTTTACTTAATTTGAGGAGAAAATGCACAGTGAGGAGGAATATTATAGTTTTGTTTTGGGGAAAAAATGTTTTTATAATAGTTGTGATAAATACATATATACAGTATATCTTTTGAGTGCCAGAAAATGGTCATCTGAAATTCTGTTCTTCCTTTTAATTTATGAGTTAAAACCTTGGTTATATTAATACCATGTGTCCAATCATATCTACAGATGAATAAAACAATGAAAACAAATCTTTACTATTCTAGAGAAGTAAAAAAAATCATTCAAACTATATTGAATTAGGTTATGAAAACCACAGTTGGCTGCAGTTTCTTCTTTGGCTCACCACTGATTAAAATAAAGTTCAGTCACCTTTACTAAAGGCCACTTGAACAGCACTCCTTCAAGTCATCAGACATTCAAGTACCTGTAAAGCAAAGGCTAACATAGCCCCCACTCTTAAAAAATAGAACTTTTAGTAAAGATTATAACAAGGAACTACCCTTGTCAGAGCACCATTCCCTTGAAATGAATGAACAAAACACAAGAACCCACAAGCACGAGTGTATGCAGAGACATGAAATGATCCAAGATGAAGACTTAGAGCTCATTCCTCTCTAGTGCATATTTACAGGCATGGTTTTCAAACTGCAAATGGCGGAGGGCATGGAGTTGTGGTCATAAAACTATCTGCTGTGAGTGCACTTTGCTATCAGTGCAGGTATTACAAGCTCTCAATAACCGTTAAGGGCCATCTTCTACCGGGACTTACAAAATCGATGTATGATTTAACTTTTAACTATCACGGTTTTTAACTTCCGCTTCGAAATCGTATTTCTGCAGCTAAAAAAAAAAAGTTTAGGTGCGGCATACACATCCAGTACCCTGGCAAATTTAAACATCCCCAAACAATGGATTTGTCTTCTGCATGACACAAAGGATGAAACTGCTAGACACCGCTGTGTTGATGACCACTCTCTCTTGTGCTTGGTGTTGTGCCAAATAGTATTTCCTCAAGGATACATTAAAATGGCAGGACTGGACATAAAATAACACTGTACATAAACTCCGGAATTTGGTGCGTAATATCTTGATCTAGTCTCTTTTATGAAATGATTTATAATGGTAACGGTAAAAAAATAACAACAAAAATCAAGAGGACTACATGAAACAGACTATCTTCAGCATGTAGTTCCTAGTTTGAGAAAATATTAATTGGAATATGTGAGCAAATTATGATGATGTCCTTTATCCTTTCATCCACAGAACTACCACCAGCTTCTTTGGATGAATTTGCTCACAGTCTAATTAATTCAGAGCCAGAAACTCAACTACTGCATTGCATTGTCATAGGCTGCCCATGCAGTACCTGTCACTGTTCACATTGGGAAATGCTATTTAAGCATACTTATTCACAAATGGATATAGCCCTACACAAAGGCTTTCCTCCAATTTTTCTGCTATGGTTGTTACCTATGATGGATACACTACTTTTCTCAGGATTTCAAAACCCTTTCAGTTCTCCATTTGATACCTGAGCTTGCTACCCAGAAGAAGTTGTGATGTGCTTCTATTTTTATGTATGAAACCTTAAATCTAGAAAATTTCTCCTTTGCCCCTGTACGAAGAGTCAAGGATCTGTGCATGTTTTTACTTTACAACGCAACTAACAGACTTGAACAATGTTTTCCAATTTTTATTTCCTTCCTCTCATTTGTGAGCTGCTAGAATCATTTTCTATAAGAAAAACATAACAAAAACTGAAAATGATCCAAGATGTACTCCAGTTTAAAGGCTATGATGAATATGTTCTTTCATTTTTCCACACTTGAAAGTCTTTAAAATTAGAGATGATCAACAAAGACAGAACCCCCCCCAACTCCTTCTTCATTCAGTAAAGACCTCTTATCATTCATTTATAGAAGAGAGCAGAGAAGGAAAAGTTAAATCCCTTTTGTGATGGCTACACAGTTCAAATTATTTCTTACAGTTTCTACATTAAAAGATAACATTTCCAATTCCTTCCCTCCTGCTATGAGAATATGATATAGATTACTCTGTACCATTTCTTTAATTCATCAGAAAAATGTCCTCATGTCAGCATTGAAATGGGCAACCAAATGAAAAGTGAATTTAATTTAATACACAGATTTTCTAAAGTTAAAAATACTTTAAAAAATGTGATGGCCAATTCTGGCACTATCCTTAATGAACTGAGATATGACACAGATTATTCATAAACCTTTAGTGTTGGGAATACCCATTCCAAAACAAGGTGATCAAGCAAACGATGAGAAGTAAGGAAAGGATTCTGCCAAGGTTTTGGTTATGTTTTCATTTCTTTGTCCATGTACACTTTCATCACCTTGCTCTCCTTGCTTTTTTGCTCTCTAGGCACATTAAACGCACAATTTCCACAGAAGCTGGCTTCCCTTCTGTTCGCAAAAATCAAGACTGATTCGAGTGGGAATAGTGCTTGGGAAAAAAAAAATGGATAATCAAACCAAAAACAAAACAAAAAGGGATAATCAAACCAAAACAAAAAAGGAGGTCTCTTCAGACAATCTGCCTTCCTTAAATAAAATCTGCATAGTTGAAGAACAGGGGCGCAGGGTGGCGAGGCCTGGGGAGGTGGAAGAGATCATTTTTGAATGCCAGCACCACGACCTCCCTCCGATTCAATGCTTCTGCTTGTCCAGGGCCGCAGAGCAAGCTGGTCCTGCTGCACACAGGAAACGTCCAGCCAGTTTCCGTGGTGATGGGTGCAGTCTTCTTGGGGTGCCACAAGGCCAGAGGACGACGGTGCTGCTCAGAGACCCCATGTGGTCTCCCCTCCCCTTCCTCCCTCCCCCCCAGCCCCACGGTGCAGAGCTCGTTAGAGTCTCTCTATGTCCCTGTACTTCTTGCGCAGTATGGACACCTGGTCTTTGAAGAGGACTGGGTCCAGCCTCATCTGGGAGTGGATGAGGGGCATGGTGCCAAACCAGTTGGCGAATTTGTTCATGCAGGTCTGCCGCTGAGCAAAGTGGTCCGGGTCGGCCCAGCGAGAGGCGCGGGAGGACTGCGAGGAGAGGAGGAGAAGGAAGAGTGGTTAAGGTCCCGGGATCGAACAGGTGGAGACAGAAAATGACCCTAAACCTATCTTTATCTCCCAAATGGCATCACATTACCCTAAAAGTGTGAAAGAATATTTCTGAGTGGCATGTAAGAGAAAAGGCAGCAAAAATAATACTTGGTCTTCTTGGTGCAAAGTTAAGGTGCAAGGGACTACAGAAAGTGCCCCGGAAAAGCTGCCAATTCAAAAAGAAGTCTTACTGAAAACGGAGTCAGTATTCATAAGGTTTCTAAAAGCTTGATATGCTCAGGAAAAATATAGGACAACCTTGTGATGTCACCATGGATATTTGACAATACACTGTTTAAAATAACTATAAGTTATGTTCCCTATGGAACACAGAACAAATGCTAGGCTTGGCGTTGTGTATGCTTTTATTTTCCCTCAAGGATGACAGAACGGTATACTTATTCTAATTCTAAGTGACATGAAAAAAATGCTTTAGTCACAGTGCCTTTGACTTGCTTCCTTTTAATGCACTACAAAATTACATTCTGCTGTGTTTCTGGATGTTGATTTTCTTTTTCTTTATAGATAAAAAGATGCTGTTAAGAGCTGAATGGCCAATATTTCTGTGATAACAAAAGTTAAGGAACCATCACAAAGATAGTAATCCCTTTAAGACACGTTCATGATCATGAGGAACAAACGGGAGCACTCTGTGATGTACTTTTCTTGCGAATATTAAGTCTAAAACTACATAAAAATGAGATCTACTCAAAATGGTCGATATAGCCCAGGCCTATATGGTGTTGCATCAAAGCACACCAAAATCAACTTTGGAACTGGTAAGGTTAACAGGAATACATAGAATTAAATCAAATTTTTTATTCCAAAATGTATCCCAGTCAAGTACACAGTAGTAAGTGGAGCTGTAGTAGTAAAATGGACTTTTGTTGCCAGGGAATAAATACACATCTTAATGCAAAACTCCTATGAAGTATCAACGCTTCTCATGTTATCAAATGTGGGGTAACTGCATCAGAACTGCATAGGTGTGGAAATGTACCGCTTCTGAAAGAGCTTGCCAAACATGTCTCGGAGAAAAACATGGACAGAACATCATGCAAGCTTCAAAAGTGAGTCCAGATTATCGCCCGATATTGCTCATTCTGATCTTTTTTGGTGGCCAATTCCAAAAGCTCTTTCTTGAAAATGAAACAGACTGGCCCCCTTTGCTACAAAAAAGCCTGCGCTGTTCTCCAAATGGATATCTGGGCCGATGTTCATCAGCCTGTAGCTCTCCCTTCTACAACGAACACTCCATTACCTGTCCCATCATGGTTTCCTTATACTGCTTCTTCTGTGTCACCTTAATTGGTGGTAGTTTGGTGACAGCCGACACAAGGAAATTCATCAGGATGTCCTCGCAGTTGGCCAGTTGGTCCACCATGGTTTTCAGACTAGCAGGTAGGTAATTTGTATACAAGTAGTGGTAGTATCTAAAGTGAAACACCAAGAGGAATTTTTAAGATGGCTTAAATCGAAATTAAAAAAAAAAAACAATCACAAGAGTTCAAGCATTCTAAGTTTACCAGTGACCTCCTCAAAATGTCACATTTCCTGTGGTGTTGATTATTGGTGCTGTTTATTTCAAGTCAAACTATCCTGCTTTTGTGTTGTGCTTAGCTGTAAATGCCTCCTTTTTATAAAAGAACCTGTCTTCTTGGGAATTCTAAAGAGGAGTTTTCTGAATTTCCTCAACAGTGAATGCTGGGGAAAGTAATAAACAGAAATAAACACAAGACAACATGAGATCAAGGCGTAGGGGCACAGGACTGTAACCATCTCTAGCTTGTGTGTTCGTATCCATAAATACCTTCATATTATAGTTTTCCTATAGTCGTTTCTTGTTAGGCAGTGCCTGTTTAATTAACCTTGGCAGGAGTTCAGTGAATATACTATAAAACTTGCAAGAAAGAAGAGAGGTCTCAGGTTACTTTCTTATAAGAAGACATCCAGAGTATGACCTCTCTGAAACCCTACAATCCTGAGATGAGAAACAGTGTAATGAACACACGAACACCCACTTGAACAGAATACAAATAAAAAAATGCTGAGATTTTTTTCTAAAGGAAGCTAGGGTTGCGAGGTTATGTAGAGCTAGTTATGTTTATTTTGCACATGTATTAACTGTTAAACCTAAGAAAAACTTTTTGCAGTGGTACTTTGTGTTTAGTCTCCAGAAGAAATTGGAAGACTTCCTCTGACAAATATTTTAAGAAGTACGAATTTTATTGCTATTAAATCTGAAGGAATTTGACAAGTTTATATAGAGAGCAGTATGCATTTATATTCATTGTATTGGGGAGCATCTATAACTGCTCTAGGGATTCTCTATACAGACTAGAAAACTTGCAAATTGCCAGTTTGTCAAAGGAAATATATATTGAAAACAAAGTTCTGTAACATGCACACTCAGACTGTATGCATCTCACAAAAGCATAACAGAAACAAGCTCTGAAACAGTTCAGGATGTTAACCTGATTCTGAGTGCAAACAGTGTTTCTAACAGCTCGAATGGCTTGTTCTAGGGTGAAACATTGAGTGCAGCTGGGCTACAACAGTTTTAAAAAAAATAATTCATTAAATTGATTAAATAAGTACAATTTGGCTGCACCTTTACTGCCTTATAAAGTTTCACCCTAACTGGTGCGTAATAATCTGCTGTTTTCAAAATATAAAACAGCACCACAAGTTTTGCACATGACTAGACAGGAAGAAGCTTGGAAAGCATTCTTGGCTTGAAACATATCAAGAGGAAAAAGGCTTAAATGCCTTTATAAAAATAAACACTGCATTATTCTAGTCAGGATATTATAAACTCTTTCTTCTCCAGCAAGACAAAGGGTTGAGGCAGTGTGCTTCATGCAGTGTCATAAATACAGTCGGCTACATTCTTACCTGTGGTATATAGCAGCTCCAGTCAAAACCATGGAGTAGTCATTTGTCCACTTGGAGGTGTAACCCCACCTCTCCTTGTTGCTGTCCCAAAAGTGACTCCGGGCAGGGTATCCCACAATCCTCTCCGGGAAACTCTGCCAGACGGTGAAGGCAAAGTCCACCTACAAAAGCATGCCATATGTCAAAAATGTCACGTTATGGTTTGAAGCTTCAAAATCCCCCTCTCCCCATTAAAAAAATCGCAAATAATGGTCCAACTCTTGTAATGCCATTTTCGTCTTCCGAATCTTACGGAATTGCTTGATAAGGACAGATTTATTGACCCTGGAAAGAGAAGCTCATCATTCCCATTTGAGCTGAATTATTTCTGATATATTATACTTTTCTGAATTCAGGCTAAAAGGTATAAACTTATTGATAGAAGGTCAGAGTACACCTATTGTTGCTGTAGAAGACGGGACCTTTTATTACGACAAATTTCTTTCCAGTTGGTCAAGTGCTAAAATATGCACCTGCGTTGTCTGCCTATGCAAACTTTTACCACTAATTACCAAGCCGTCATGTGTTTCGGCTCCAGAACGGAACAGCTCCAACATCAAGTGAGGAGTCTTTGGATAGACGGCCAAGCGCAATCACCACTGAAAACAGAACACAAGCAAGTAGCGGCTGTGCTGCCACTTCACCAAGCTAGTGCACTCTGTTCGGCCAGCTTTACATTGAAAACAGTGATGGGAATGCAATTAATAAATGCAGAAACAAGTACGTTATTTGATGCATTCCCTTAAAACTAAGTTCTTTTTACTGTCTATTTTTCCTTCTTGGGGCAGCAAAAGGGTGTCATCTCTGTTCTGAATTAAAATTGCATCTTCTCTAGCTAGGAGAAGAGATTAAAAATGTAAACAAAGTATGATATTTTAATTCCATTCTAACATTTTATCAGTTTCACATACTGTACTTTAAACATTTCCAGGACCCGCTGTTTACCCCCAAAAGAGCACTATTTCATGCTACTTTCTCACATGCAGAGATATTACAAAGTTTTTAGAAATTAGTTTTAGGATAATTGAAGTTTGAAATCTGAAACTTCAATTCACTATCTATTTATGTGATAACATTAATATGTGATCTCATACTGTAACACAAATAATTGGTTCTACTTCTCAATTTAACACATAGATATATTCTCTCGCAGACAACTACCACCTACAGTACAGAATCCGGACTACAAAAACATCAGATTTTCACAAGCTTTTTAACACTCCCTTACATATTTCACCTGACAGACTATGTCTACTGCATGGGAACTTCACAAAAAGCAGAAGCACGTGGTTTAATTGTGTTTCAAACAAAACGTCATTCACAGTTAACAATAAAAAATTAGTAACTCTATTCTGTAAGGCTAGATATTTGTAACTGATGACCATTATCAGGATTCAGCAAGAATACATATTCCGTAATAAAACCCTGGTTTCTAACAGACAAACAAGGAATCTAATGGAATCCCAAATTTCCAAATTCCCAAAAGTCAGATTTGGAATGATGTAAAAAAACATCTATATTGACTGCAGTGTTAAAGTAAGCTATAAAGACATTTCATTTCCATTAACTATTTTATCACATACAGTACAAATTAAAATGTGAAGCATTTACAAAACTGCATTACATACCAGATAAATGAAGATTGTTTTACATATGCAGTATTAACTTACACAAACACATATGTAGATACACAAGTATATCTATAACTGCCTTATACATTGGCTTATCAAGGCAGAGATTCAAACTACTACCAAGCATTTTTTTTTAAAGCAGCAGGTTATCTCTTTCATCAAAGTATAACAAAAAAAAATAGATCTATCACACACTAGGGACTTGCCCATTCTTATTGCAGCATTAAAAACCTCAGAGAATATCAAACTGAGTTCTGGCACAACAACACAACAATCCAAGGACATACTTAAGACACATGCTGCATACAGACACGAAAACTTCTTTTTAGCCTGGAGCACAGTGCAAATCGGGAGAGGGGTTGTACGGATTGGGCTCAGTGGTGAGACTGAATAAATGTTATTTCATTAAAAAATACAATTTGTTTTAAACCCCACCAATCTGGATTTGCCATAAACTATTTCATCAAACTCATCACTGCGATCCCCTGCTCTAGCCTGGGAGAAATGAAGGCAAGATGAAGACTCAACACAATGAAATGTGAAATGCAAAGCTAGGTTGCTTATTTTCCTACAGTGCAAATAAAAGCAGCTCTTCAAGGAAGGTGCAGAAGCTTTTGAAGACTGCTGTGATGTCCTACCTAATTTAATGTAAAGTACAGTTAAATGTGGGCGAAAGGGCACAAAGTTAAAAAAGGAAACTTTAATTTAATAAAGATACCAGGTAATGAAAAGAAACACAACTAGCTTAATTTCTTTATAAAGCACAAATTGCTTACAAATTACAAAAAGATATGAATATGTTCTTATGACAGAATTCCGACATACACATAGGTTGCACGTGTATAAACACTTTCAAGATTTATGATGCTAGGAGAGCCAATGTGGCCCTCTCAAACCACGCTGTTTAAGCTTTGTGGTCATGCAAGTCAGGAAGGGCTTCTGATGTATGCCAAGTAAGTAACATAAGACATCCAAACTAAACAAAACAACAAAATAACCAAACATCCAAACGACGGATAGCCCTCTCAGCTGCCTGGTCTGAAAACTGACCTTTCAAATGACTCAACTCTAAACTTAATTTCTTTTTACAAAGGAAAAATACCAGGAAAAAACACCCAGGGATGACGACGTTCTCCAAATTCTGAAATGGTTTTGTGAATTACAAGGCCTGTTCTCCACTGGGAAAGTAAGAAAAAAGCAAAAGTTACAATTTGGAAGCTGTGCTTTTCAGGGGGAATCTTTATAGAACTATGACCTTCTTGCTGAATTTGATGGCATGCCATCTTTCCTTAAAGATACCCCCAGATGCCCTGTTTAATTGAAGAGACAACGGCATCTTTTCTGAAGCCCCAAATCTTCAAATTCATTCTAACAGAATCTTTCCTTTTCTCTTGCTTCTTCGAATCAGAGTAAACATATCTGAGGAACGGATTTCACTGATTTGATATCTTTGTGTTGCATAATGGACCATCACTTAAAACAAAGACGGCATTCTAAACATGATGTACTTGACTCGTATTGCTGTGGAATATAGGAACTGCACTCTAAAATTAAGAGGGAGACTAAGCAGAATGTTACTACCCTGCTGGTATTATACAGATTTGAATTACTTTCTGTAGTGAGATGAAGCCAAATACGTTTGGCAACCCAACACCCTGAAGGAGGAAAGTGTTAATTGCGGAAGCTATGTCTAATTAGCCAGTAGCATGGCACTGATCCCCTATTTTCTCTTTAGCAATGTTTCCTGAATACATTATTTAACAAGCTGATGAATAAGTTATTCAGACATACTGTTGTGACACTGATGTGAAACTGTATTCTACAACAAGTCAGAGGGGAAAAAAGGTCCAAAGATCCTCACTTTGGAAGAAAGCTGTTGCTGTCGGATTTTTGATTAATTCTTTTACCACAATAGTTTTACCACATAACATCAGTTTTTACAAATAAGTGTTAACCAATAAAACTGGTAAAAGGAACCATTCAATCCCAGAGGAAGCGTACATAATGATTGAAGTTAAATTCTCTGCAAATGGATAAATATATTTGGTACTTAAGTCACTGGTTTAAGATTGGCATTCATTCCAAATAAACATTTAAATACTGTTTTGTAATTAAAACATCTAAAATGATTTAACAGAGCACGTGCAAAATATGACTGTTTTAAGTTGTGGAACAGAATTGAGGAAGCAATTCACTGAAGACAGACACTGATGAAGCCCTCAAAGGTAAAAATAAATCTTATTTCCTAGTTCCAGCAAGCATTTCAAATGTTCAACAGCCCTTAACCAGAGTTTACATAAGTCCCTGTAATGGGGAAAATGCTGAGGCTTCTCATGCCTGTCTGAGTTATCTTGACAAACAGCATGGAAAAGGAAACCAGGAAAGCAAGCTACAATATGTAAAGTCTTTGTGTAGCCTGATCTTGTTTACTCAAGTTTTGTCAACATGAAACAGTAGCATGCAAAACAGACTTTGCGACCAAATAAAGTAATAATATTTTCAGTTTTCTAGTATCGAAATACATGATACCAATGGAATACAATAAGCAAGTGAAGTTACATTCAAACATGTTAAACACAGCTACAGTGTTTCTTGAGTTAACATACTTTAAATCAACAACTAAGTTAAAGGGAAAAGGTGTTCACATTTTCTAAGTCACATTTTATGCAGTCAGTGCCTGAAATTAGCTTTTGTCATTAGAAAAAACCCACTTGGGGGGCAAAATAGTAATATGTAACAGAATCTGATATTTTATCATATTATCAGGTTCTTGCGGATGGATAGATTTTCTTTTCATACTCATCGAAGCAACCCTACAGGGACAGAGGTAGCTATGTTCCTAGTGATCTAGTGATGGTGTCACTTCAAACATTTCTATACAAGGATAAAAGACAAACACATTCTTTACACCATAGTACAAAGAAGCTTGTCTGACCTATTTTTGCTTGTACAGTACAGCTTTGGTTGTGGGATTTTGGAGTTCTGCCTTATATGTTTGAAAGGAAAAAAAGAACTGGGACACTAGTTCCAACGAGGAGTGGTATGCCCTAAACTGTAGCATCCCATAAGAAACCTACAGTATGAACACATTTTTACCAAAAAACAAATATTTTCATTCATTTTTAAATAATCCAAATAAGACATTTAAAATTCAACTCTGTATTAACAGCATACTTAAAAGCGCAATCTCCCTTTCATATTTAGAAACTATTAACATGATCCCATATCCAAAATGAGAAACAGTTAAGTCTGTAGTTAAGTCCAGTTACCAACTGCTTTTAGAAGAACTGTACAATATTTTCTGAGCATGTGAAACAGAAGTCTTTTATCTAGATGCCAATACCACAAAACCAAGCTCAGATCATTTAAATGAGTCACTCAAAAAAATCATACACAAAATCACCTCACTAAATGATTTCAGTCCTTGCTATAAAAAGCAGCAGCAGCAACAACAGCAACAGCAACAACAACAACACCACCACCACCACCACCACCACCACCATGTGCTGATCTGGCAGCAAAGCAACACTTCATCATGAAAGGATGTGATGTTCAGCAGCAGAATGTGTGTCTGTATGTGCTCAGTTTAGAAGTGGGTTGCCTTTAAAGACACTGCAGAAGAAAGACTCATTAGCACAAAGCTCCCTGTGAGAGACAGCTTGGCAGAGCTGCTGACAGTCCAGATACAGATAATCTCCTCGGTGAGTGACTTGAGACCAACGCTACATAAGTCAAAACAATAAATAAATAAGGTAAAATAAGAAGCAAGAATGTGTGAATGTGGCGATACCACTTTCTGAAGGGAACTCTTGGTTTAATACATTTCTCCAATAATTCTGGCAGGTACACTCATGACAGCACTACAGCAGCTCATAACTATAATTCAGCTTTCACCACACTCAGAAAAATGTAACCACACATCACCCTTTTTCCAACATCAAAAGCTGTCCTGTAGCGGTGGTATGAGGCAAATTGAGCATTATGCTTCTTATGCCTGTGAATTAAAATAAAATGAAGGCAACTCCCCATGTAAGGGATTTCTGGCAAATGTAAATAATCATTCCAGTCACATTTCAGTGATCATTAAAAACTCTCAAATTGACAGGCGAGGATAAACAAGAGAATGAGCAAACTTTAAGCCCCCTCCCCCCCATTTTCCACAGAAAAACGCAGCACTCACCTCTGTGGTTGAAAGCACTGTATCTTCATCAAGGCTCAGCACAGCATCGGTGATTATAGTTTCATAGGGCTGGAAACGACTGCTCATTACCTGCAATGAGACAGACTATAGAATTACTACATAAAATACAGCTGGGAAAGAAGTAACAGACGAAATAAACATCAATCCTTTTTCACTTCTGTGAAAAAAAAACATTTAACAAATATAATCGACTTGAGAAGGCATGGACATTTAGCCCACTGTGTTCAGCTCTAGCCATGAAAGCATTATAGGCAACGGAGTTACTGACTCTTGGGCCATTAGATCTTTAAAGCTAAGCAAGACTGGGGCCTACCTGGTACAGTGAGGACTAGAATGTCAGACCTCTAAAGCTACTATAAGTGGTATTGATGGAACAACAGATGAACTTCTGAACCAGAAATTTCCAAACCAGTGCTCTAGTATGGTGACAGGGCACACTCAGCAATAGGAGGTGCTGTCCTCCAGATAAGAGTTTCAGTCAAAGTCCTGACTTCATGGCCATGAAAGATCCCACAGCACTTTTTGAAAACCGTAGGGGTGTTAACCCCCAGAGTCCTGGGTAAATTTACACAAATGGTAGCAGGTGAACGGAAGAAAACCCCACATCCTCTGACTAACAAGACACCTGCCAGAAGTGGATGGATCTGGATTTCTCTGCATCATTAAGTGTTAAGCACATTTTTGGGATGTTTCAAAAATATTTTGTAATTCCGACCATTAGAAACACACTCGAAAATCCAGTGCCACTTTTACAATATTTCCAGATTTGCTAAAACCAATGTTTAATATTCCAAACTTGCAAAAAATAAATTGCCTGACTCAGACAATCTATTTAGCGATCCCCAATTTTGATTATGAAACTGTTGTGAGGGACATAAAGCAAAAACATTCTTATAAGCTTGCCTTTTCTGCAGCTGTAGCGAAGGTACAAATCTATCCACTTAACATTCAAAAGGATATTTAAAGAGCAGCTCTTAGCTTTTGTTGATTTCCTTGAGGATAAGCCCAACACCCACATGCACACGAATACATTCTGATGGTGTTTTTTTCATTCTTTTGAAACCAACTCATTGCATTGAAGGTCATTCCCTCACAACAGGTATTTTGCTCTTTTTAAACCTATTGATTATGAAATAGCACTAAGACACAAAAAGCACACCAGCTAACACATGATGTTAAAAGTCAAAATGCAGACGGGTCAGGTTTTTGTTTTTCTGGCTTTGTTTTTGACAACCAGTAGCGCTATGCAGAAAGGACTAACCACAGAAGTTATGCTTCTTCAAAAAAAGGAGAAGCCGATATTCTACGTCAACATCGGCAGGGCCAATTTTAGTCGAAAAAACTAAGACGGGACATGTAAAATAGACCCAAACTGAATGGTGTGCAATTGGTTTAAATTAATGCAAATCTGTGTGGTAAACAAAAACGAAACATTTGGCCTGTGTGCTGCAGAACAGGAAATCAAAATTGCATGCATGCTTGAAGGAAAAGTATTGGAATACTGCTGAAATCTTGCACTTTGCTGGGCACCTGTCTTATTCTATCACAGACTACCTCCACGTGAACACACAGGTATGTACCAAGCATGTTTCCATAATATCTCTGTTGTCAATGAAATCTCACGTAGCTTGAGCAGACCTTGAGTACCACAAGCTGAGGAAAGAGCAGATAAAAGTCAAGGTTTTTAATCCTCTGAAGAATACTTTAGGAGTACACAGGACAGGTATCCACATTACAAAATGCAATTAGTTTTCAGAAATCACCCATTTACCCTAACAACAGGAGAGATGACTACCAGAGTTTCCATGGCAACCAAGGCACAGAACTGTATGCCAATTAGATGGAGCCAAAACCGGTTTGGTTTCAAACTAGATTTGACTTTCAGCTCTAGTCTCAAAAGTCCCTCTGAAATTGAGCTCCAAATCCATTTTCTCAGGCATGAAAACACAAAACAAACACCATGGAACATCAAGGCAATCTGCAGTTTTACAATTAGATAAATAATTCAATAATATAAAAAAATTCAAGAGCAAGAGGAAGCCTGAGTGATCATAACCAAGCAATACAGTCTTGTCAAAACACCCATTGTGCTAGAGTCAGAGATTTAGATGGTGAAGTTCCTCAAGCGTTAATCAGTCCCCGATGAAAAACAAAGAATCTGATTTTACTGTTTTTACTGAAGAATGATAAATCATTTATTGAGCAAAGATAATTGTTACAGTTCCGTAAAAATAAGCTTTTCACACCTGAGCCTGACTAATTTAATTAATATGTTAATTTAATTACTGGAAAAACAGCACTTTAGATATCCAATAACAGTATCATATCATTCATAGCATAATAGCAAAAACATTTTTGCTATTATGCCATGAATGACATTGTACTAAGGAACAATATTAAGGGACGTTTTTTACATTAACATAGGTAATTTCCATATTTGTCCATGAAATACTCAACATAACAATGACTAACTTTTGACAACTTTTAGGCATTGCACAAAACTATGCTGTAATCATACCTTCAGACAGTCATAAATCAATTTCTCTGAATAAATGTATTCCCAATCTGTTTAAACTGGAAAGAAGTATGAATTTTGAGCTCCCTGCTTTCATCTACATTGTCAATTGTGATTTAAACACCGTGCATTTTGTTGAATGAAAACCTACTGTAAATGAACCATCAACATCACACAAAGGACTACTTGGCCTGAAAGAAATAGTTCAATACATTACTGCAAATGCACTACTTTCTCAAGGCACAGTCACAAGTGCAGGCGTTTTGGCACAACAAGAACCATTTTTTTTTGCATGAGTTTTGTTAAGACAATAACTGCTTGTGAACAAAATGTGATATAGCTGTATTAATAGAAGACAACACCTCCTCAGCTTTTCCCATTTAGAGTTTAAATAAAGCTATTATATAAGACACAGAACACCGATCACTTGGTGGCAAGATACCAGACACCAAGGAAATACTCTTTCTAGCAGAAAACCTGTTTTTACTGTGCAGTGTGCCTTGTCTCAAATTCCTTAATCCTAAAACCAACTGGAAAAATCAAAAGTTCAAAGGGAGACTCACCTTCCTCTATTTTCTGCAAGGATTGTAAAACAGACTGTCTTAATTTATGCTTTAAAGAGTATTTTTTGGATAGCTACAGAGCTTGGCTTAGAGAAACTACTATTCTGACTCAAAGAAAATTGGAATTCTGTTACTCAATTAAGAAATATCAAAAAGGCATTAAAAAGTGCTTTAGAGATATGGTCTCAGAACTGTCTTAAGCATCCAGCAGTTGGTGTATGGTGCTTACTCCCCATAAGTAAACAATTAGCCCACACCAGAAAAGTGCAGTGCACGTTCAAGACAAAGGTCCTATTTTGTCTTGTGGGAGACTATGGATTAAGAACAGCAACCCTATTGCTTCCATTTCAATGGGTGACTGACCAAGCCTGCATCACTCAACTGCTCGTACAGCTCTTTGTGGCTTAGCCTTCAGGAAAGCATTTTTTTTCCCCATGGCAGAAAAAAATATTTTTTTCTTGAAATTTAAGATAATTTTCAAAACCTTTCAAAACAGAGGCCAGATAATGATAGGTTAATTCTGATAGTATTTGGGCATAAGAAGAATAGTGAGGAAAACAAAACAGTGGCTTTAGTGTTACTCTACCTTACTCTCTCCTTCAATCACGATGACGGGCACAGTTGTGGCTGGCCACCGGTGTTTAGCTGGTAACGGCTTATCACAGTTCCATAAAACAATGATCTGAAAAGGTCAAACAAAACAAAGACAAAAGAAATGTGTCACTGTGGTTTTAAGACAGCCTATTAAAAAATGCAAAACACTTGAATTTGGTCAAAAGTATATATTTTTCCTCTATAGTAACACTCATTTTTTTCATGTACAGCACCACTGTTGCTATACAATGTTTGACACGTTGACCTTTTAACTACATGATACTAATCATAATAAAAGTCAAACCAGCAGGAAGGAATTATATATACATATCATAAATAGAGCTAATGGAAAACAATCATCAATTTCAAGCTTTTTATTTTTGGATTAAATAGCTATGTGGCAATGTCTTGAGCAGCAACAGATGTACCGACTCGATGTTGATATTATTGATAAATTAGATATATACCTGGTTAAACTATTAAGACATTAACAACAGATGCTTTATCTAGTCCCTGACCACAAGTTAACTATAGATAAATATTAAGATCTGTCAACACAAAACAATAAGAAAAAACAAACAAACTATACAATAAAGTGGCTCAAAATTAAATAAGGGTAATTTCCCAGTCTGATGAAAAGACCAATTTCCAGTTATCCAAATTAAGAGAATTCATATTCCAAATTCATTTTTTTCAAGATGGATTTCAATTGCATTATTCATTGTGCTTAATACATGCTTTTTCAAGCTTTGACATCAATTTGGATGTGACTTTAATGAATGTGTACTTATTTGGCTTCCCTGACACTTTTTCAGATGTGCAGAAATTACTACAAGAACAAGAAGACACCTGCCTTTTACTCTTGAGTGTTTCTCTTAACTGGTTCATGTAAAACTGCTAACTACCTAACATGCTGATGTTCACAATTTAAAATGATTTCCACTTGCTAAAAGCTAACAGAATTGCTCCAATGGATTGGGACTTCAGCAAATTAAATACATTAAGAAAACAAATCAGCATTAGCCTTAATTAAATTATATCGCCCCTTTATCCTAGCGCATGGATTAGAAACACTCTGAAGAACATGTCTCTCCCAGTTTCACTAAATAAAGTGACTGAAGTTTGAACAAAACAACGAATTTTAAAATATTGTCATTTGTAGCAGAAATACTTTCCTACTGTACAAGAAATGATCTTTCTTCACGTTTGTAAAAACATGAAGAAGGATCATTTCTTGTCATATTTAATCCTTTATTTGTTTTAGAGTTGAAGTATCATTGCTCTTATTTACTTTATCCATGAATACTTAATTTATCCATTAGACATCATATCCATTAATACATATCCAATGTCCATTATTACATAAGGTGTGAAAAAAGCAGGAAAATCCTGCAATTCTGGACATTTCTGAGTCCATGCACTGCGTGGTGTCTTTGGAATAGGAGTCGCATAGCAACGGTGTATTCTTTGGTTTTTGTTAATAACCAGAATTAAATTGTTAGATCTTCACTCTAATCTGGTAGAACATAAATAGAATAGAACAAATTTTCTGCCAACATGCATGGACAGCGGTCATCTGGCTTTCTTACCTGGGCACAATACTGGGATTTGGCTACAGCCACCAGGAGCTTTAAGATTGGCTGAGACTGGGAGACCAGTGGAGTCACTGCATGGATGACAGCCGTAAACTTGGGGGATGGTTTTATACCTGTATCAAAGCCAGTGTAGTCCATGTTAATACATTCTCCTGAGCAGTTATTCACAGATGCAAATATGTGTCCAAGGTACTGCTACAAAGTTACATCAAAGGATAACGGATATTCTCATAATATTCTAAAACAAGGCACACAGGAAAATAAATACAAACTGGCACGTTAGCCTTAATTAAACCATTTGCAGTTGTTTCGGTATGGATGAATACATTTAGCTGTGAAAAGATGTGAAGGAGGTACACGCATTCTGTCCATAATAGAATGTATCACAGTGGCATCTCTTTCTTTCAACAAATGTATAAAATATATGCAAGTTATGATACATATTGCAAGTCCAGGGTACTCAAAGAATTTTCCCCTACCAACTTCCTCCATTTTATCTCTTTATCCCTGCTCTACTTCTTTTCCGCAAAACTAAAGCCGATGTTATCATGCACCTGTCTTGGAAGTCAGATGTGGATCATTTCAACACTGAAAAGGACTATTGGCATGTGAACCGATTGCACTTTAGATAGCAAATTATTTGTATCCATTCCCTTGCATGTCAGGCAACTGTCTGCATCAGTCTGGATTGTTATCTTCATTCCTAAAACAAAGAATGTTGTTTTAACTCTTGGCTCATCTGCTGGCCAGCACTCACCAAGACCAGCATAGTAAAAAGGGAAGTCTCCCAGATACGCAGAATACTGTGGCAGCACAAAGAGCCCTCCTGGATGACTGTTCCACATTAAGCTGTTCCGTGATATGTGCTTGAAAATTCTATCCCGGATGATCTGTGGGAAGACAACATATATATTGGGTTTCGGATCCCTAAAAATAAAATGTTCTGATTTTGCTGTTCTACATTAAAACACAGAAGTGTCCTAGCAGGTCTGCAGGCTCAGAGAGAGAGAGAGAGAGAGAGAGAGAGCTTACAGATAGCATTTGAAGCCACAATGTTTTTTAACATTCTTTGAAAATATCACATTTACCTGATTGAAAAGGTGTAAGTAAACAGAATTCATTATTCCTGCACAGAAAGCAGAGCTAGTTAAGGAAACAATTAGATCAGTTTGAGCACTGTGTTGTATGGTGCAGATTTCTTTACCTTTTGAAATTTATAACTAGGAAATGTTATCTTTAAATACGACGTCAAAAACTCTGAATAACTCTTTTCAGGTTCAGCATACATCAGACCAAAACCTTCTGCTATAATACCTGAGAAACTTCTTTTTGACAACTGAAACTCGTATAAAAATGCCTAACAGCTGGAAATCCATCTGCACAGTAATTTTAAAAGAATTAAATGATTCCCATGATCAGAAACAATGCTGAATAGCACTAATCTCACTGCTTCGATCAATTCAGATGCAAAGATGACATCAATTAAAAACCCTTCATAGCAAAATTTGCAACTGTGGACAGAAAACAAATGGAAAGACTATAATTCCGGGTAAAAAACAGAATTTGTACACAATGCAGAAATGTGTTCACAAGAAAGGTTTAAGTGACACGCTCTTGAAAACAAATGTGATAACTACTGAAGGTTATTATTCCAAGCAAGCACATTAGATGTACAAGTTTATTCTGTAAACATAAAACTGCATATGTTCATTTAAAACTAGAATGGTGGGTATATTTAGCATTTAAGGGAGACTTACTGATGTCAAAAAGAACATCTTTAAAATCTTTTATTTTAATATTTGATTACATGTGGCTCCATTAAAGTGAACTGCCTCTCCAGTTTCATTTTCCTTATTTACTATGAGCCCCAAGAAGCATCTCGTTAACATTTTTGTACAGTACCTTATCGAGTATTGGTATCAGGTTTCGGACACTTTCCTTTGCTTTAGGGTAGTGGTTCTCAAACTGTGGTACGTGTACCAGTTGTGGTACGCAGAGCGCCACCAGGCGGTACGCCATAAGACCATGGAACTTTGTTGTGTGCACTGAAAAACTGGGACGGGTTTTCATATTTTCAATTTTAATAAAATTAGTTTGCGTCGAATACGTAGCCTACGTACTACGATACAGCGTGCACTAATACTTGAGTGGACACAAGAGTTGCGTGCTGACACATATTGTATGGAGAAAAGGCTGCTAAACAGCTCGACCTGCTGCCCCCTCCAAAAGACACAGTAACTCATAGAATTATTGATATGGAGGATGATGTCAAAAGTACGCTGATAGAGCACATTAAGATGAGCAGTTTCACTGCAACTAGATGAGTCTATAAATGTCATTGATTTGGCCAATTTGCACGTTTACATTCGAAACGAGTTTGAGGGCATGTCCCATGAGGACTTTCTGTTCTGTAAGCCGCTACCAATAGGAACTACAGGAGAGCACATGTTTCAGCTTCTGAATAAATTTATCGAAGAGAATGGCATCAATTGGATAAAATGCGTCAGAGTTTGTACAGACGGTGCTAGAGCGATGACAAGCCGACACAGCGGTGTAGTTGCACGAATTAGAGAGGTTGCTCAAGATATGAACTGCAGCATCCACCTCGAGGCCTTGGCCGTCAAGAAACTGCCTGACTATTTAAAATCTGTTAGACTCTGTTGTGAATTAAGTATCATGGCTCGACCAATGAATCCACATCTGCTTCGCTCGACTAAACAGGCTCACCCCTCTCATTGAAATGGTGCTTTTTTATTGTTTATTTTTAATTGTTGTTGTTCCTTTTGTCATTCTGTAAAGCGCTTTGAGAAGACACCTTTAAAGGCGCTATATCAAATAAAGCTTATTATAATATTTATTATCTGTGAGTGTGTGCGTACACGTGCGCTCATGTTGGTCATTGCGATTTTCTGGGGTTCCTATGAGAAGATGACTGGCAGGTTGTACTTGGATCCTTTGGTTTGATCAGGGGGGGTACTTGGTCCAAACAGTTTGAGAACTACTGCTTTAGGGAAATGAACATATTTATGACTAAACGCTAAATTAATACCTAACTGTTTTGAACACCTGATGATGATAAGCAGAATTGAAATGATTCAAAATAAACACTGGTTAATATTCCTTATGTCATTTGCAGATAGTTCTTTACCCACCATAAATGGTTAAACTCTACCCATAAACATCAAGGTCTTTTTTTCTCAAGGAGCTGCATGAATCTGGGGAATACATTTCATTTCTGATCTTGTAATAAGATCCCCTAGACTTCCTTACACCTTACACCTCTATGCATTGGTTTCAGTTAGTTTTAAAGGCCAAGGGGAAATATGGTGCTTACATGCATTTTGTGGCTAAATAAAAAGCTGTGAGCACTACACAGCCTTTTACTCACCTCCAATGTAGTCAATACAATCTTCTCCACCGAGGAAAAATAAGCCTCCCACAAGAGTTGTGTTTGCTGTCTAAGTGCTAAGATTTTGTCCTGATGGATGGACCTGACTGTTGATGGGATCTGTAAGACAAGGCATTAACAATGAGCAATCAATTGATATAGAAACGAAGACAGATTGGACTCATGTAGCAGTGGGTAGGGAAAGGGTGGTGATGTTCATTGAGCAAGGACTAGCACATTACTAAGAAACCTTTACCAGCCCTACCTGTACTAAAACAGGGCATATACCAGGATAAAATTGAAGGAATCCTCTCCAATGACTATCTGCTTTCCCGCTCCGGGATAAAAGCCACTCTGGTATCTAATTCGCGGCATACATAAGTAATCTGATAGCTCAACGCTGACAGTAGAAAGAGAGTATGATATAAGAAGTCAATTACATTACATTCCCAAGCATTCTTTTTTTCTGAGGTTAAGCACCAAAAAATTGAAGCTATAGAGTCATTTAGTCGAGTAGCTCAAATTCCCACCCAGTATTAACAGTATTATGCACTTAAAGCTACAGGCATGATAAAGTATACGTGTACCCTGTAGAGCTGTTTCATGGGACTTACACACGTAACAGATTTAATACATAGAATTAAATTGTATATTAAAACTGAAATACTGTAAATAAAATATGTTCAGTACTGTAGTGCCACAGTATTTCAGTCACTGAAAATGCTACATGCGCACATGTGTTGTACAGTATATACAAATTGATTAAACCTGGTATTTTTCTTACTAAGTAGCTACTAATAGACATGTAACCGGAAAAGGCAAACCTAAAATCTGGATGAGCAGTTATCCATTGTTAATTTGTTACTAAAAAAGCAGTAGTAGACGATGACTCATGTCACTGGCCAGGTGAGACGGACATTTTTTTTCTGGAAACACCAGTCGGCAGAAAAGTAGCTGAATTAATAGCAGGAAGCCTGCCAAATAGTCTCTTGATACTATTCCTACAGCCTGTCTCCGGCAACGGGGCTTATTAAAACATCCACACAGCTCCAAACAGGAAATGAGAAACTGTAACATAACAAAACATTTCCCTGGACGACCGCTCAGGCGTTGTGCCAGATGGGGAACAATGTTGGAAGCCACAGAGCAGGTCAAACCAACTTGGACCGCCACGTTTGAGGCTGAAAAAATGGACAAGGGGCACCAGTCAAATATGAAGTGAAAAACAATAATGTTTTTTTTTAAACTAAAAGCTGTTACTCCTCGATGTTCTCTGTGTTTTCGGTCTCATCAAGGTCGTTTATGAAGTGCCTGGATTTTTCGTTTTATATTTAAAAAAAATCTTTCCCTTAACTGTTGCTGCCCCCCTCTTCTTTCAATTCCAGTAAAAAGAACACGAACCACTGGGAAAATGAACCAAAGAAGCCAATACCAAGGTTAATTAGGGATTGTCTTCATGGCCATACCTTTTGAAACACTGTCGCTTTCTCCTGCAAAGTTGCTTTTGGAAAAGCCTTGGCAATATTCCCATAATCAATAATACAAGCACATGACAATTAGCTAAACAAACTAAAAGTCCAGTCTATTTCAAAGTAAATATAGAATATACTCTATGCATATACTTCAATGTTTAACAATTACTTGCTAAATTCAATGTAAATGCAATAAAATGCAATGCACATGTATTCCCCCCTAGCTATTTATCCATCTATTTATGTATCACATACTGTTGCTTTGATTTAACGTGATTTTACACGACTCTTATGTTTTTCTGAAACAAAGAAATTTCCACAGTAGTGAACAAAGTATTTATCTATTCTAATAAACATAACCAGACCAAAGTCATATATTAACTGAACGTGGTGTTGATTTAGTGATAATGGAGCATTTTTATATACTGATGGAAAAAGGAAATGTAACAGCCCCTCCTCCACACTCTGGCACTCCCGTCTGCGTGGAACAGGCTGAAAAGTGACTCATCTGTGAAGAGGACCTGATGCCTCTGCTGACGAGTCCGTCGCAGCCTCTGTCTGGCCCAAGCCAGTCGGGTGTGACGTCTAGGAGGTGTGAGCAGAGGGCCTCTGACAGGTCACCTTGCTCTAAGGCCAGCAGCATGGAGCCTCACTGTCCTGTCACTGATGCGGGCATTGTGTCTGCTGGCAGTTTCAGCAGCAGTATGGGTGGCAGATCTGAAACAATCTCTGAGATGGACCAGTCTGATATGTCGGTCCTGTTCTGGTGTGGTCACACGAGGGCAACCGGATCTTGGTCATCTGTCCTGCCAGTCTGCTGAAACCTTCTCTGCAGTCGGGACACAGTGGAGCAGTTCACTCCATAGTGTCTGGCAACGCTGGCACATGACACATCTTCCTGCAGCATGCCAATGGCCCTCTCCCTTGCTTCTGGTGACAATCGATGACTTATGGAATGCACAGAAAACTGACCAAGCGTGGCTTTTTCTTGCAGTGACCAGAGCTTTGAATTAAGGCCTTTTTCAAGATGACCTGATCAGGCATTGTTCCACCTGGACCTCGCTGGGTAAAAGTGCTCCTAACGAGCTTTCGTGTGATTGGCAAGTTGGAATGCCTCACTGCACCAGCTGTATTGCTGGTCAGAGGGCTTAAAACAAATTGACAACAGTTTGTGAAAGTACATAAGCTATGACTAGTATTCTCATTCCAGAACAAACTTCGCTCCCACACAATTTTTTCAAAAAAGTTCCACGCAAGTACAGACCTTGATCTATTTTTTCTCAGTTTGCACAACAAGCTTGCAAACAGCATACAAAAATACCACACGGGGCCCCTGTCGTGTGTGTGTTTTTTTTACCAAATAAAGAAAATGGAACTTGGCAGCTTTGCCCCCTGTTAGTTTTGCCTTTTATGTACAGCAGCTGAAAAGTGTTACAGCTTAAAACGTCACTTAAGTGCAAAAAAGACCTCAATTAAAACTTTCAAATACCAGCTCACATAGCAGACAAGAGCCTTCCTGTTACCAGGAATCCCTTGCAGAAAAAAAAGAAGGTGAATTTCTGTGCGCAGACAGCAATCATACACTTTCGCTGGGGCCTCTGCAGCCTGATTAGAACTGTAGCCCAGCTCAGCTCCTTACCTGCAGCAGCAATCTCTCGTCTCCTATGACAGCAGCTGTGTTCCAATCGATTACTTCTGAAAAAGGCAGCTCCCATCCGTTACTGAGCGTCACGGGGACACAGGCAGCCTGGAAGCCAAGCAGTACAATTTACATTTCTGTAAATTACTTTGACAACATGATCTTGTGGAAAAAAAATAACACTGAACGAAAATAGCATCAGCTAGGAACAAATAAAGGAGAGGGGAAACAACCCAGAAATAGGCCACTGAAGAACATTTTTTAATCATTTTTACTGCTGCTGAGTTTGGCAAATATAGGCTTTTGAATCTGACTTAGGGGAATTCTCTAGTTTTACAGGGAGGGACCTCTAGAGCATAACTCTGATATATAAATACATTCATATAATAAGCCCCCAAGCTATTTTATACGTTAGATATAAAAATAGATGTGCAGTTGAACGTTGATTGAAATACATCAACAGCCTATAAAACATGTACTAGTTTTTTTTTATCATTTGAATCGCATCATTACTTGGTATTAGAAATATGGAGCTAAAGTCATGTGATTTTATTTAAAAAAAACACCAGATACTCAGTGTTCGGAACTCAAGATGAACACAAAATGCTGAAATCGGGCAATTATGAACCTGTAACAGTCATTCAAAAAGAGGTGACTAATTAAAAGAAGAACAGTGAAAAGATACAACCAAAACCAACTCCCATAATGAAGATTGCTTGGTTACTATGGGCATGACTGAAGGCGTGCCATTTGTGAGAGCAACCGCCCAGAGTGAGATTTTTGCTTCAAAAATAGACAAACCCAGAGAAGCCAGGAAACATTGAGGGAGAGGACATCAGCCCGGTGCTCTCTTTTTCCTTTCTGGTCCATTTGAGCAATCGTTCTTAGGCGGCAGTTGTTAGAAAACAAGAAATGCCAGAAATAATCAATGCAGAATGACTGCATAGAAACAATGTGCATGCATGGAGGATGTTCATGATTAACATGTTGATGAAACAGGTATCTAATCTGGGCCAGAGAACACCGAGCTGACAGAAGTGATAGTGGTTTTGAGTTTTATGGACAAGTGAATGTAATTTTGCCCTCCACAGACCTGCCAGAAGATGTGTGCAGTTGTAGTCGTGAACATTACACTGATTGTTGTGTAGTTCAAGCCAACTGATGCAGCTGTGATATGGGTAAGGAACAACAAGAATGCTTTTGTTGCAGACAGATAGCAACCTTACTGCTCAGTCCAGCATCATACACTTGTGAACCAAGAGTAACTAGATTTTATATGTACCCCATACACCAGACTTAGATTGCTAGGCTGTTCTAGGCAATGGAAACAAGCAAGGCAAAAATAATGAAATGATCTGTGATGAAAAGCTAGTTATTTCTCTGGCAAATACAATATGCACATTTCTTTTTGAAACTACTAAAAACAAAATAAATAACTGACAAAATCAGGGTGGTAGAATTAAAAAAAGTTAACTTAAAAAAAGTTACAGCAGTAGGAAAATAAAGCACTTTGCCAAGTCCCTTTAGTGTCCAATAGCTCACAGAGTTTAGTTCATTCAGGGGGAATTCAGTGGCAAAGAAAGTTCATTCAATAACTTGCTTGTTCAGACCTTGTTTCGGCTCTTTTTCCTGCTATAATCTCATTCTCCTCAATCTGTCTATCCAGGTGACCACACAGTCACATGTTTTGCTGGCCATCCTCTAGAAATTTCCAGATAAGAGCCTATAGAGCTACACCCCTTTCTTCAACAACTGCAGTCATACCCAGAGCACAAGGGGGGAAAAGGCCCTTCTACAATAATGGGCAATAATCAACGCCAACATCTTAAGACACTCTTCAATGGTGCACTGAGGAAAAAACACAAGTTACATTTGATTATAATACAAATACCTTTCAGTCAGATTGCTGCTATATTCGGCCCAGGGCTACCTCTTCACCTTTACAAGAGTAGAGTGGAACAAGAGCACATCCAAAGTTTCACAAGGCTTAACGCACTAGTGAAATAGGAACAGCATAAAAAAAAAAGTTCAAACTTTAGGCGGTTAATTGTTTACTGCGGCCTTTGAGGTGATCTAAGAAGTATGATGAGGAAAAGTTTTTGATCATTCAAATAAATCTTTTCAATCCTGCCATGTGCAGTTCACTCACAAAAGGGTATGGTTCCATTCTCTCTAGCATAGTCTTTAAGTCAGGAAGAATTCAGAAACAGATACCACTGGACACTATGTATTTTTTTACTCTATAATTTAAGAGGGGGGAAAAAACACTTCAGTGGGCTGGGAAGGTATTCACAATCGCTGAAGCGAACAAGCAGATTTCGCATTCTTGTCTAGTTAGTACTCTTGCCATTCTCAGATCAAAGTTCCCTGAACCCACAGGCGATTTGCACCGGTGGGGAATCTCTTGAAACAGAATTTCTGAACAGCAATTTATTTGCCCATCTTGCTTTACCCTTTCCACCTCCTAACTAACAGTATAAACTCCTGATGTTAGCTTTGCCTGTGGTGAGAGTAGAATAAAAAAAAAAAATAATTAGAAAAATGAAAAAGAGCTTCGAGGCAGAACTACTGTATCATTTCAATTCTAATTTTATTAATTTCTTTCTGGCGCTTTTCCGCCAGTGAAAAACAACAGGAAAACTGAGCAGGTGTTTTACAGAACACCTCAACTCCACCGAGGGATGGCATGAGAATTGAAAATGGTTTGCTTTGTTTAAATTGGATGACCCTTGGGGGGTTTATTTATCATGAATAACACTTAGGTTTATGGGGTGCTTCCAATCCTCTGAAAGAAGAGAGGGCATCACGTGTTATCTCAAATAAAAGCAGTACCTTGACAGTGTCTGATGCCACCTTTCTGGATTCCTACACTCTTTGTAATCCGTTTAGCTTTGTGTCAGTCATTGAAAACTGCAGATAAACATGTCTCTTGCTTAGTTCTGTAGCAATAATCTGAAAAAGGTCAAATCTAACCCAGCTATGCCTAACGCAGTGCTGTAGAACTTTGTATTCTGCTTTTGGCTATTTCAAAACTGGAGATTCTAATCTCACAGATTTTCAAAATGTTTAAGACAAAACGTGCATATATTCCTTTTCTGAACTGTTCTAAAACTGCTTAACTTCTGACTCCTGAGAGTGCTTGTCTTATGACCTGCAGCAGCTGTAAATGTTTGCATGGCTCAAATTCTAATAAAGAAGTCAGCAATAATACTTAGCACTTAAAGCTTCTGAAAAATATAAATGCAATAACTGTACAAACTGTTTAATATGGCTCCAGTCTGGAGCAGACGTGATACTTAAATTCACCACTAAATCAAAACTAAAACTATAAAATTATACACACACACATAAAGGAAACAATAAAGGAAACATGCCTTTTGTCATTATCCAAATGAATGATATACTTGTGACTAATATGCTGAATGAACAAAGACTTTGTATTACATGTGCACTGTTCAGTTAGAAGTGACAGAAAAAAACGTTAGATATGTTAACTAATCACAATTAAACAGAAAATAACAGTTTAAGGACTGGACTTCTAAGATGATGCAATTAAAGAAAGGTAATGGTCTCATTCACCTATTACTGCTTGTTGTTTAAACGCCATGCCTCTGTAGGAGCTGAATTCCAGAAGGAGTACATAATGCTCTGACTATAGGATCAGTCACTTGATAACATGGCTTTTCCTGAGCTAAAGGGAAATATGACAAAAAAGGAAAGCAATACCAAAATATAGTGTATCATATATACAGCTGAGGACTATCATCCCTGTCGCTCAAAATCCCAGCATGACAGCAGTTTCTTGTAACCCCTTATTAAATTAAATAGGGCTTGTAACACTCTGCACCATTCTCTAGCTGCTATGTGCTGAATTATTAAAAAAATAAGGGAATCTCAGCTATAATTGACTCTACAATTCTAGTTCAGAATGTATGCACTCCCAATTAAAAATTAAGCCTCTCATACTGCATCTTTGAATGAACAACCCATTTTATTTTTAATAGCCTGTACAATGATCATGTGCATTATGGGGCTACAGTATATATCTAGGCAGCAAATTGCATTTGTAGCTTTGCTTTTTTAAGCATAATGACTATTACTATATATAATAGATTTCCTCCAAAAAATACCTTCTATAAGAACACAAAAAAGGCAGTTAGTTGGGCAATGAAGTCTTAGTGACTGCAAAGACAAAAGAAGGAACATGAAGTAACCAGGTGATTAAAAACTCAAGGAATTAAGCTGTGCCTGAAGCAATTAAGTTGATTAATAATGGATTATGCTATGAAATACTACAGTACAGGAGGTTATTGTCTTGTGGAAATGAGGCCGCATTAAGTAAATCCAAGGACATGACATATTAAAAGGTCAAAGAAAAAAAGAGCTGACCCTTTCTTCAATGTGCACAGCGGAACTGGTATGACTAAGGAGGACAAGTGTCAAAGATTTGTAATATCAGGATTAAGCCATGAAGTATGAATTAGAGACTGTAGAACTGATTAAAAGAAACTCGAGATGTTTAAGAAGGTCAAAGGCACCGACATCTTCGAAGCAGCAGACGTGACTTTTATGTAGCCGTGACTCTGAAGCAACGCATTCTGAAGTCTCCTGTTTTTCCCAGCAGGGCTGGAATCCAGTGTCACAACCTAAAGAAAATTAATCACTTTCATCTCTCTTTAAAGAGGATATAGTCACTGAAGACATCTTGGGCAGGAATTTCAAAAAGCAGAGTTATTGTAACAAAAGTGCAGCACGGAGGTTTCAAAAAGAACTCATTCATCAACACAGGCCTCAGAATGAGTTGTAGAGAAGAAAAAAGCTTGCTTATCTCAGGTCACTAACATTACACACATTGCCAACAACTATATACCATTACTGGTGAATATAATTCAGTAAATTCTACTGAACATGTGGAACAGAAGCAGTTCTGTAAGGGTGAATGGGCCAAAATTCCTCCAAACCGATGTGCGGGACTGATCAACAGTTTGGTTGAAGTCACTGCTGCTCAAGGGGGTCACACAGGTTCACAAAGACAAAGACATTTAGTGTTGGATCATTCTGATCAATAAATGAATGAAAATGTATATCCTTTTGTGTCTTGTTTGTTTTACTGGGATCTCCTAATTTTTATGACCATATTTTGGGTCAAAGTTATGCAGAAATTCAGAAAATTCACAAACTTTCTAGCACCACTGTATAGTCAAAGTTTCTGTCCAATATTAAAAACTACAGTATCTTGTCAACATCAAGATGAAGACTCCAGAATGTAGGCTGACGTACACAATTCTGTGAGTATTGGTATAGGAACATTACATTAGATATATAAAGATAAGAGAATGAATTTCATTCATAAAATCACACAACGAGAGGTAGTTCTGCCATTTTTAAATGACAAATATTAAATTATCTAGGTACACTGTTTCACCACAACCCATCTACTAATATGCTATCTGGTCCCAGAAAGTGATTACATGTATACATCTACAGTATATAACAAAACATGACAGGAGCTAAGGAAATTTGCACTTAATCTATACATGATGCATTACTATTTCAGAGAGTGAAAACCCTACCCATCTACTGTATATGAGTACCTGCACGGTAAGGAGGCATTTTGAGTACAATGTGTGTGTGACCATCATCTCCAAACACTTTGGGAAAATAGGCTTCTGATGTATTGTCGGTAGTCCCAATTAAGTGGGATACCGATCTAGCAGTTAACCCTTTTTGTCAGTACAGCAGTAACCTGAAGGATAATAGCAGAACTGGCAGTTTGATTGCAATATAGCCCTCCGCAATCACTGTAACGACAGAAGCAGAGAAGGATAATCCCGCCAGCACCTTAATGATTCATCCTTTTGTAGGACTTTCAAGGTCTTCCTGCAGAGTCGAACTGAGGCTGACAATAACAGCCCAAATGCAAGTGCAATCAAGGTTTCAGCTCATCGGGGAAATCTAAAAAATATGCTCTGTCCTGAGCACGCACGCACACACTGCTTTGCCGTCACGACTGCTGTCTGTCAATCTGAGGATCCTCAAGCTCAAAATTACATTCAAAGCTGCAAGTGGAGTTCCCCGCTACAATGTTATTTTCTTCTTCTTTTAAGTGCTCAACCTAATAGCTCTCAATAGGTTTACTGAAGCTCACAGGACTTACTGTACTTATGTTCAGGGTAACCACTTAATAGAGTTTATCTGTTGTCCTGTTGAAACTTACCAGCACACTTTCACCCATTATCAACGGGCGTAAGCATTTTAACCTTATCGTATGTCAGCAAGCACACGTCATGCTCCTTGTTGGTATTTTTCATTTGGATCAATAATATGCATGGAATGTCTTTTTTCTTACAGTATTTTGACCCTTAGATTATTATATTAATTATGAACGTTGAACTGACAGCAATGAACATCATTTATAGCTTATTTAAACAATGTCTGATATCAGCTAACTTCTTTCCTAACAAGCCTTCAGGAGTTAAGGGAGTTCAGGGCAGTAAGTCTGCCTCCTTTATTTCAAGACACAGGAAATATCCGTTTTTAAAGCAATGTGGATGTTCATGGGAAACTGCATCACTATGATGATATCCTCAGATTTCATTTTGAAGTAGAACAATTCTGAACTGCTGTGACTGAAATGATCAAGCCTTTCAACAAAGGTGGTATTTACTTAACACTTCCAGTCTTTTTTCTTTATGCATGAAAATATGTGCTTAAATACCATATCACCCTTATCACTGTAAACCAGATACGGTGCTTATAATAAAAGACCGATGGGCACACAAACCTAATTGTTATATGCCAGCTAAAAGTCAATTGAGAGAAGTGTTAATTTAGAACTGCCCGAGTTAAGCCTTGAGGTTTCACAGCATGAGCTGTACTGCGTCTTCTCCAGCCCTTGTCACATAAGCAGCGGAAAGAATAGAATGTACAGGATTGCTGAACCAATATGCTTTACACATACAATTAGAGTAAAGTAGCATTCATACAGGCTGAAAATTAATATAACTATACATGATATGAAATATGCAATAAATCTCATATGCAAAATGAACACCATATACTATGGTCAGATGAGTCTGACATTTCTGAAAGCGCAAGCAACAAAAAAAATGCTCTGATTATGTATATATGTGGGTTATTCTAAGCAACCACATGAAAATATGTTGAAGGCTTTATTTGGTTCATTACTTTAAGCTCTGTTACAGGATACGTAACAGAGCGGTCGAAGCCATTCGATATTTATCATGGGCGAAGAAAAGTGAGCAATGACCACTTTCCTGCAGCCCTCTTAGGTCTACGGTCAACTGAAGGGCATTAGCATGATACTCACTATCGAACTCGGGCTAGAGAACCACGGAATGCATCACTACACACAATTAGAAGCTAGTGCTCCACGTCACATTCGGAAATCAATATGAGGCTGCAGCTTAAGGTAAACGTGTCATACACCCCTCCCAACAGAGATTTCCTCACCTTGGCAGGGATGACGTGTATAATTAAACAGCCTTCTAAGATATAAGAAGTTAAAATACATAACCGTAGGTGAACGATCAGTAACGCGTCCGCCGTCTTAAATCAAAATGAGTCCCAGCCTGGTTGTTCCCACAGCCACCCAACGCTTGGGGTGGAGCGGAATATCGGATGCTTACCTGTAAGGCTTCCAGAAACCGAAAAGACCCCAGTCGCCTCCCGCGCGGGACGAGACAGAAGGTGGCGTTGTGCAGCATTTCTCTGTAGTCATACCTGCCACAGAAGACAAGAGAAGAGGCCTTTCAGTTTCATTCTCGATGCCACAACAGCAGGGAAATTTATCGACATTTAAACAGTTTGGCAGCAAGGATGACCAGAGAAATTTCCATGGCTCTTCTCACAATGAACGGAAAAAAAAAATCTGGATTACAGGTATAATAAAACAACAACTTAATACTGTTTTCAGACGTGTGCTGTTGAAACCTTTTAAGGACCAAGGTAATGTACCGTATACATGATGTAACTGAAGCACCTGTGATGAGGATCATATTACATAAAAAGCCCGACAGAGTCTGGACTTACTGGAACAACATACTTTCCAGTAGAGGCTGGAGCGCTTCAGGCTCAAATTGCCCTCCATATTTCTTTGTGGTAACAATAATATGGCTGCCAATCAATACAATATGACTTCTCTTGCTTTGAAGACAAGAACGTCATCATAATGCATAGCATATTGAACACTAAGGACGGCATCATTAAATGTAGCATGCACAACAAAATAAAAGCTAAGTTTGTGAAGTGCTGTATAATACATTCTGAAGTATTCTGAGTCCAGGAAAAAATGTTTAGGACCCAGTATCTCACCGAGAATCACTTGGGTCTTAAGTGGTATATTGATCATGTCTAACACGTTATTTAAAATTAAAACTCTAACACTGCAATTGTTTACCTTTAACATTTTATTTAGTAATATATAACATCAAAGTATGTATAAATAGTCAATTAATTTAAAGTATTTAGTGTGACTTATAAATAAGCTAAGTGTCATCAATATTTTAACAGTTTTTTTAATTAAAAGCTATTTACACTCCTGGACTAGATGTGGATATCTTTCAGTCTTTTTTTTTTTTAAGATTCATGTAGGAAGCAATCTGATCTCACTTATTTCCAAAAGAGTCCTCACAAAGAGAAGTTGAGACCAATTTTTGTTTTTTATTATTCATAGACGAAAACCAAAAATGTCTGCAGAAAATGTATCGGACATCCCTGGATTTCTAGTTACCAGTACGGTTAGACTGCTGAACACATCTGCTGAACACTGGAAAACCCATGCCAAAAAATGCTGAAGCTGCTAAAAATGTACATAACTTTGTTAAATCCACAGGTAATAAAAACGAGCCGTAATTTACATGAAAAGAATTCTAATGTACACACAGAGACAGCTATCCCTGTGGGCTTCTGTAACCTTCAAAACAGCACTCCGTGGCCCTAATCAGGGCAGAACCTCCCCAGAATGGGTAGGATAATCACCTGTCTCTTCGCTGCAATGTGACTCCTACTGACATCACCTTTGGAGCAGCAAAATAAGCCTCAGAAAACTACGTTTGGTGGTTTAAGAAAAGCTGCAGCCCCCAGCCTGGAAAACTGAACTGAAAAAAGTGGTTCAAAGCCACTGTGAGCAGTCGGTAAGGAGCTGGAGACTCGTCCACGCAGACCCTGCAGGAACGACAGAGCTCATTGGGGCTGGCAGGCCGCCAACACGTTTTCACGCAGTTGCTATAACTACACCTGAACCCACAGGCGCACTCACTCTCCTGTCTCTCTGGTGGATTGTCTAATTGCTCGCAAACAGAATTATCAACTTGTGAACTTAATGAGGCAAGACTGAAACCTGGTTCCACCTGACATGTATAGGCTGTAATTGATAAAGCTAGGTAAAGGAAAAAAAAAACCCCGGAATAAACAGATGACAGCCGGCCCCTTCACGCGTCAACTGGAAGAGGCCAGGTTTGTTTTTCTGCTGTTCAAGCAGCTTCATTCTACAGGGGACAAGGGCACAAGTTAAAACAAATTCCAGTACCTGCACACAGGCACTAAATGTTTATTTTACCATATTGTTTAAATGACTTTCATTTTCCCACATTAAGGCTAAAAAAAATGGGAAAATGGCTTTTCCAAAACAAAAAATATATATAATGGGGTTTTAAACTATAAGTATTCTTCTGGTTTTAAATTCTAAGCACTGTTACAATATTTTAAACATCCTTAGTAACCAATAAAATAGCCTCTTGGCTTACATGAAAAACACAAGCCTACAAACCACCAGCTATCGTTTGGTTTTGTCGTTCGGATGAGACGTTAAACTGAGGTCCGGACTACTCAGTTATTCAAGATCCCATGGTACTATTTGAAGGAGAAGGACATTTGCCCAGCAGCTACAATCACCCTGCAATTCACAACTGGCTACCCACTAAAGCAAAGCAGGTGTGAGCCTGGTCAGTATCTGGATGGGAGATCTCCTGGGAAAAACTAAGGTTGCAGCTGGAAGAGGTGATAGTGGAGCCAGCAGGGGGCGCTCACTCTGTGGTCTGCATGGGTCCTTACACCCCAGTATAGTGACGCGGACACTATACTGTAAAAACTACCCATCCTTTGGATGAGACGTAAAACTGAGGTCCTGACTCTCTGTGGTCCCAGGGCGTTTCTCAAAAAGAGTAGGGGTATTGTCAAACTTCCCCCCTGGCCTTTACCAATCATGGCCTCCTAATAATCCCCATCACTCCGTTCTCCTCCCCACTGATAGCTGATGTGTGGTGACCATGCTGGCGCAGTATAGCTGCCGTCACATCATCCAGGTGGATGCTGCCCAATTACCCGGGGAAGTCCCCAATTACCTGTAAAGTGCTTTGAGTGGAGTGTCCAGAAAAGCGCTGTATAAGTGTCAGGAATTATAAAGGTGTAAGGAATTAGTTAACCCTGGTGATCTTTTTAAGTTCCGCTCTGAGCAATTACTGTGTGCACAATGGCCTCCACGCGTCACCCAGGTGGGGGCTGTCCTTAATGATAGATGAAACAGGTCCCCACTTATATGTCAAGTGTTTTGGCATCCTTTGGACTAAACCTAACCCAAAACAAAAATAAAAGTTAAGAAGCCAAACTAATAAAGTTGAAAAGTTTCCTTTATTGACGTGTCAAAAGTCTGGTCACAATACAGTATCCCAAGGACACAAGACAAGCTTCCTGCCAAATAGCAAGACATTATACAAAGGACTTTGAAGCGTCTGGAAGATTAGAGCTGCAATACAACACACATTGAGTAATATTCCATAGTCATTTCATTTGCCAGAGGTGATAATCCACAGAAAGGAATTACTTTTTTTTTTTTTAATCGGAACAAACAGCAAAGCTTTGTGTGAAAAAGTGCAGTAGGGAAATGAGTTGCAGTTAGCAGCTGCATGTCAACAGAATTGCTTCACTTAGCCCACTGTTACCAGACAGAAGTGGCCTTGTTTAGGAGCCTAAACCCTTCTGAGAACATTAGGATTAACAGCACCTATTTCCCATGGAAGGGCTTTGGTTTTCGATAAGAAAGCGGCCAAGTTGCTCTTTGTCGGAGGGGAAAAAACTTCACATTCAAAAGTCTACCAACCATTAAGTCAACAAAGGCACACATAAAAGGAAGGAAACGCGTCAGAAAAGCAAGAAAAAAAAAACAAACAAACAAACAAAAAATGTACTTCCTTCACACGCAGTCTCACACTTGACGTTTATATGCTTTGCCGCATACAAGACCGGTACATCGGAGCTTCCCAATTTCCATTCAAAAACTCTGTAATTAGGAAGAATGTGCCATGCAGGTCCATTTGCTTAAATAACCATGTACAGCTAATTTGCACAAGAAAAGGCTGCTGTGAGAGGATTAGGGGCCTCCCTGCTGAGTGTAAATAAAATCCCATGCTGTATTAATTAAACTGCAAAACTAACTTCAAAGCTCAAATGGGTTTTAAAGGGGACTATGAAGAAATGCAGGATGACCAACGTTAAAAGTCAATTAAAAAGAAAAAGCCAACTTCTTCTGTCTGATCTCAGCCGCATGTGAAGGTCAGGGAGTAAACAAAAATCTTAGAATTGTTTGAGAACAGAAATTCTTCATTTAAAAAAAAAAAGACATACTAAGGTGACGTCGAAGAACAAAAGTGGGTACGCCACCTTCAGAGAGATGACCGGGGCAGTGATAATAGAAAACATGACGTTTTTTAAGGGTGGAAGAACATTCTCAACTGGAGATGCCAGCTCCACTCTTTTTCCAGTTGATGACATTTCAACCACTTCACCCCCATTTCAAAAATGGATATTTTCTTAGTCTAACTCAAGAAAGAGAAATCCTATAAAGAAATTCTAATCAATTACCTCGACTTTACCTTATAACGACGTGGAGCCTCCAATTGTGTACACCAGCTTCCAATTAGTTTATTCTCCTAAGCACACAGGTCCTGGAGAGTGTTACTCAAAATGCAGAGCTTACCTGGGCCTGTGTCTTACTGAGCTTGGGCAGAGGAATTTTAAGCAGGGTCTCAGATGCTGGATTCTCACCCAAAAAGCTTTTGGGATAAACAGCCCAGTTTCTGTGCAGGGCTTGTACCATACACTATAATTCATAACTCAATTCTGTCTCTGCCTGGTGCTCTGCTATTGATGACCCTTCAGCCTGTGACTGATGCACAACATCTCACAGATTGATCCACAGAGGTATTATTAATCTTTCAACAGAGCAAGCCTACACAATATGACACCTAGGGACTCTGGAATTTCATTCGGTCAGTGCTCTGAACAACAGGCCACAAAGCACACAAAGGCAAATCTGCTTGTCCTGTAGCTACAATGACAAGGAGACACCTTAGAACTAGCTGTTTTACTTTCTTGGACTATCATCTGTAACTGATACTCTCTCTAATGCCCCACCAGCATTCCTAACCAAGTCTTTAAAAAGAAATGTAGTTTCTCTCACAAAGAGCAGGCGATTCTTCCTCTACACCTGCTGTTTATATGTAGAAGGCTGACAGTAGTGTTGAATGTCCACTATAGGGATAAAGATCATCAATGACAAACCATAGCCAGTCTAACAATCATAAAAGCTCCGAGACGTAAATATGGGATGCCTATATAAACTCACATTTACTAATTTTATTTTTGTTTCATGACAAAAAAACTATAGCTGTTTAGTAATACTAAGACTTCAAATGTACAACTGAATATTTTACCCTCATCTCATA